AAGGTAAACTGAAAACATTCACAAAGAGAAAGTCTCCAGGAATTGAGGAATACAAATTGAAGTCTTTCAGCAAACTGATATAATATAGGAAACACTCATTCATCGATGCCAAGAAATTTGGAAGACAACTACCTGGCAAACTCATTGGAAGAGCTCCATATCTATGCCCACTACAAAGAGACATGACCCAATGGAATGGAGAAATCTCAGAAATATCTTTACTATCACATGCAACTAAAATTTTGCTAGAGATCATTCAAAAATGGCTGTAACACTACATTGACAGGGAACTGACAAAGGTTCAAATTGGAATCATATCAGGAAGTCAAATGAGAAATATCATTGCTGACTTCAGAAGGCTCTTGGCTAAAAGCCGAGAACACCAGAAAAATGTTTACCTGTGCTTTATTGACTATGCAAAGACTTTCCATTATGTAGATAATGATAAGCTAGGCACAGCATTGCTCAGAATGAGTATTCCGGAATATTTAATTGTGCTCATGAGAAACCAGCACATAGACCAAGAAGCAGTCATGTGAATAGAACAAGGGGACACTGAATGGTTTAAAGGTATGAGTTAAGGATGCATTCTTTCACCATATTATCCAATTTGTATGCTTAGCAAATAACCTGAGAAAGTGAATTATATGATGAAGATAATGGCACCAGGATTTCAGGAAAACTCATTAACAGCCTGCAATGTGCAGATGATACAACCTTACTTTCCAAAAGCAAAGAGGACTTAAAATGCTTATTGATGAAGATCAAAGCAAATAGTCTTAGATTTGAGTTACACCTCAATGTAAAGAAAACAAAGATCTTCACAACTGGATTAATAAAAATATCATGTTTTTCCACCTTTTATGGTGAAAAGTTGACGTTGTCAAAGACTTCATCTTGCTTGGATCCATTAACAACACTCACAGAAGCAGAAGTCAAGAAATCAAAGGATGTATTGCATTAGGCAAATCTGCTGCACAAGACCTAGTTAAAGTGTTGAAGAGCAAAGATGTTAGTTTAAGGACTAAGGTAACTTGGTGTTTTCAGTAACCTCATATGTATGTGAAAGTAGTACAGTAAATAATAAAGACCATAGAAGTATTGATGCATTTGAGCTATGGTGTTAGAGAAGAATATTAAAACTATCGTAGACTGCCAAAAGAACAAACAAATCTATGTTGGAAGAAATGCAGCCAGGGTGCTCCTTGGAGGCCGGAATGGCCAAACTTTGTCTCTCATACTTCAGACATACTGTCAGAAGGGACAAATCACTGGAGAAGGATATCATGTTTGGTAAGGTGGAGGGTCAGAGAAAGAGTAAGACTCCCAGTGAGATAGATTAGAAAAGTGGCAGCATTAATGGGCTCAAGTGTGGCAGCAATTGTGAGGTTGGCCCAGAACCGGGCAGTTTCGTTCTGTTGTGCATAGCATTGCTATGAGTCAGTACCGACTCAATGGCACCTAACAACAAGAACTATCATCTTTAAGTTTTTAAAACTTTGCCTGAGTTTTATCTTTATCTTGATTTTTTAGTTAGGAATCTGAACTGTTTCAATAACTTTTTAACTGGTTTTAACTGTTACATTATATGCATCCCAAACAATGTCCAGTAGGACCGCTCAGAGAAATTGTGTAAGGCGTCACTAGTTACTGAGAGATCTGCCCCTTTGTGTGCTGTAAAACAAAATGGAATTGTTAAAGCCTCCAATCTATTCTTTATCATTCTTGTACTTTAAATAAGCTCTCAGAAGACCTAGACACAGTCTGAATCTGTTACTGTTCTTATCTCAACTGACGTAATCAAACATATCCAGAGTGATGATATGAAAATGCAAGCTAGTCTTGAATAAATTGTATGTCTAGATGAATAAAGACAGTGATTGTTGTATTCTTCAGCTGCCTGTGAGATTATGATTGGTGCAGATATATACCAATTGATATGAGGATTTTATTTATAATCATATTAATAGAAATTGTAGATAAGGCTATTTTAAAATATTTTATTTCAGATTGAAGTATTGAAATATATTATTATTGTTAATTGGTCACAACTTTGCAAATATAGAGTCCTGGTGTGGCACTGTAGGATAAACATTAGATTTCTAACCACAGGATTGGTGGTTCAGATCCAGCATTATGCTCCTTGGAAATCCTATGTAGCATCTCTGTGAGTCAGAACTGACTCAGTGGCACTTAACAACAACAACAATAACAACATGTAAATGTATTTCACAGTTTGAAAATTCATTAATAGCAATGAAAGATAACTTTACTGAAAACGACTTACTTAATATGACAGATGGGCTTTTATATTTTAAGTGATCCCTTGAAATAATGTTAGTTGTTGCCAAAATAAGACAGTATTTAATGTGAATTCTATTGCAATTTTTCTTTAGTATAGATTTAAACTGGTGGAAAGAAATTAAGAATGCCACAAAGTATTTGACAATTTCAGATTGTACGTGACAAATCGCATAGTTATTTGTTATCCTAATCTTTAATCATTTATTAACTGAAAAATGACTGAAATGCTCTTTTGATATTTCTGAAAGCAAAGAATTGGAAATTACTGATTTGAAAAATAATTTTCTTGCTAGTAATTTACCTTTTCAATAGCAACACCAATATTTCTAATCATTTGTATCTACTGACCTTTTTGTAAGATGGCCTCAAAGAATTTATATGCTGGAGAATGCAACTGAAATTCTGGATGGGAGAGAAGAATGCCTATTCTTTTGTAAAGAAGAAGAGGAGTAATTAGGAATGGGAAGATTGGGAAATAGAGCCTGTCCCTCTTACAAATATGCATGCTCAAGTGTTTTCCTGAAAACCTTCCCCAAGCACACCATCTGTATACACCTATCTGAAGACCACTAAGCTAGGTTACGTCAGTGCTGATGGTCATGGAAGAAGGTAGAAAGACGCTAGAAACACAAAGAAATATAAGTTGGGATAATTTCATAAATTTTGTTAGTGAATTAGATTGGGAGAGCATAAAATGTTCTAGGACTTAGAAGAGTGTGGTGAGTATTAAGTATTCCAGTAGATTGTGCAGAAGAGCTAACTGGGAAATATGTGAGTATTTGTAATTGCAGATAACAAGGTTAGAGAGTGCAGACTAAAAAAAACTATACAATTTTGTAGTTTTCAGCTTCCAGGTAGAGGTGCAAAGCAGGCATGAGACTGAGGGCTGTTGTAATTTCAGAATGTTGGGTTTGAGGTATATGGAATTAGTGTGGGTTACTAAGAACGGAAGGAACTACAGTGGCAAGTTGGGCTGCTAACTGCAAGGTAAGTTTGAATCTGCCAGATGCTCCATGGGAGAAAGATTAGGCTTTCTGCTCCCATGAAGATATACTGTCTTGGAAACCCTATACAAGGTCTCTATGAATTGAAACTGTTTCAATGACATACAACGACATACAGGGTCTCTATGAGTCAGAACCAGTTCAATGGAGGGAACTGTTGGGTACTTGGCTAAGCTAGGGAATGTAAGTTTAACAATACAGAAAGACTCCCAGGACGTATGGCTGTACAGATCAAGGCAACACATTCCCAAAGATATTTTGAGAATATATAGTTCCTGAGAAAGAGCCCCTGGATATCAAAGCAAAGGAATTTAAAAATGAAATAATCACAGCATTGCCATATTTCATCCAGGAGACAAAGTCATGGAAAGTATTGAATCTCTCTTTATCCAAGATTTAGAAACTATATATTTAAAATAACTATACAGTATATGGGGAGCCTATTGGCTCCATATGACAAGCGTATTTGTAAGAGGTGCAGCCTCCATTTCTAAACCTCCCCAATCACAAGATTGGCAGTTGGAGACTACCAGCAGCTTCTAGAGAGGAAAATGAAGCTTTCTGCTCCTTTAAAGTTTTAAAGCCTCAGAAACAGGGTCGCTATGAGTCAGATCCAACTCGGTGGCACTTAACAACAACATACAATATATGAATGAGAGCTGGTGGTACTGAGGACAAACACTGGACTGCTTACCACAGTGGCAGTTCAAGCCCATCAGCCACTCCATCAGAGAGGCATAATGTTTTCTGCTCCCAGAAAGACTTAGAAACCCTATACAGAATTGCTATGAGTCCAAATGAACTCCATGACACTTAAAAACAATGAATACAAAGTATGTAAGTTATGGTGGTGCAATGGTTAAGTGTTTCTCTGCTAATTAAAAAACTGGAGGTTCAATTACTCTACAGGAGAAAATACCTAGGAAACCGTATATCCTATAGAGTTAAAAATTGACTAAGAGTAATAATAAGTTATGAGTTAAGAATTGACTCTATGGCATATGACACCAAGATTCATGATATGTAATATACTTTTAATGATAATCTTTAACTGTTTGCACATATCTTAATAAAAGTTTGGACATCAATTTATATAATACTTTCTTTAAATTAGTTTAAGGGTTTTAGAGGCAAACCCCGTGAAGATCACTGAACTGAAGTACTGAGAAGTAACAGCAAAGGTTATTAGAGAAGCTGTTTAGTCTAGATGCTAGGTAACAGCTGGTGTGATGGCAGAAGTTGTTACGGAAATAAGAATTAATTCTTAATTTACATAATTTTCCAAATATTTGAATGAATATGAATATTCAGGAGATGGAAAGGGGCTGAGGACTGTGGTGGTGGTGGTGGGGGGGTGCAGGCTTACAGGGTACACCCCTTGGTTGGGTGAGGATGCATGGACAGGATGATAACTATGCCAGTGAAATGATGGATGATGGAATGAATGTAAAGCTGATGTTCTCCCATGTAGACTATCACACAATTCACAATAAAACATTAAAAAACAAAAACAAAAAACATTCCATTTCCTTTCATCTCCTTTAGGAGACAGAGACTTGTCATTTTGGGACTTCACGTTACTTCGTTGCCATCCTGCCTCAGCTCTCGAATCACATAAAGAAAATTATGGTTTTGTAGATTCCTTGACTTTCTTTCTGTTAGGTGGAAGAGAGTTTCTTTGAAGCTTTCTAGATCCAACTGTGAAACAGAAATCCATTATCTTTCATTTTCTCCCTTTATGAATGATGTGCAATATTGTCCAAATAAACTAGCTAGAAGTTTCCTTATTATGGATTTAACCTGATTTCTTCAGTTATACAAAGATATCTTATCATTAAATCTACCAAATACATGCCAAACTATTTCTGTGGACCTGTAAAAGTGGCTTATACCACTTCTGTCCACATCTCGTCAAAAGCAGTCATAAGACCCCAATCCAAGTGTAAGGGAGGCTAGAAACACAGAACAGAAGATTAAAGGGTAACTTGTAACAATTGCCTGACAATTGTTAAAACATGTGACTATTTAAAAATCAATGCAAAAGTACTACCTTACCAAAACTTTCTTTGATATCCTAGCACTTTTAGGAGACAAGATTGAGTTTAACTATCTTGAGCAAGTATAGAAGTTGAGGGTTTAATTACTGGAGCCAAAGAAAGTGACAGGAATTTTGTCTTAAACAAGCAAAATAAATGTTTTGCAAGACATAAAAGCGTAATTCTTGGATCAACTATCAACACTCGCGGAAGTAGCAGTCAAGAGATCAGACGACGTATTGCACTGGGCAAATCTGCTGCACAGGAACTTTTTAAAGTATTGAAGAGCAGAGATGTCAGCTTGAGGACTAGGGTGCGCCTGACCCAGGCCATTGTGTTTTCAATAGCCTCATATGGATGCGAAAGCTGGACAGTGAATAAAGAGGATCGTAGAAGAATTGATGCCTTTGAGTTGTGGTGTTGGAGGAGAATACTGAGGGTGCCATGGACTGCCAAAAGAACCAATAGATCTGTTTTGGAAGAAGTGCAGCCAGAGTGCTCCTTGGAGGCCAGGATGGCTAAGCTTCGTCTCTCCTACTTTGGACATGTAGTCCGGAGGAAACAATCGTTGGAGAAGGATGTCATGCTGGGTAGGGTGGAGGGTCAGAGAAAAAGAGGAAGACCTCCAAGGAGATGGATCGGCCAGGTGGCATCATTGATGGACTCGGGGGTGGCAGCGGTGGTGAGGTTGGCCCAGGATCGAGCATTGTTTCGTTCTGCTGTGCATGGGGTCGCTATGAGTCGGTTCCGACTCGATGGCACCTGACAACAACAACAACAACAAAAGCGTAATGACTTTCTGGATTGAAAATAATTTAAGGATGTTGCTGTTGTTAAGTACCACTGAGTCCTTTATGACCCATAGCGACCCTGTATACGGTTTCCAAGGAGCAGCTGGTGAGCTTGAACCACCAACCTTGTGGTTCAAACAGACTTTGCAGTCCAGCGCAAGACCCCACAACACAACACCAGGACTTTAAAGCAACAAATGAGATTAAATTTTACCGATTCCTGAATAGATCAAGGTATTGACTGTGCAGTAAAAATAGACATATGCTTAATAGTAGTACTTGCATCTGATCCTACCACTGGTCTCTCAATTTGTCATATTGTGCTGGTTTGTGTGCTCCTGTGATGGTTGAAGCTATGTTATCGATAATCTAAGTATCAGCAGGGTTAACCATGGTGGACAGCTTTCAGTGAAGCTTCTAGACTAAGCTTCTAGACTTGGAAGAAAGATGCATCGTTGCTGTTATTAGATGCTGTTGAGTTGTTCCTACTTATAACAACCCTACACAAAACAGATGAAAACAATGCCTGGTCCTGTGTCTTCTTCACAGTTGTTGTTATTCTTAAGCCCATTGCTGCTGCCACTGTGCCAATCCATTGGGTTGTAGGATCTTTATCTTTTCTTTGTTTACCCTCTATTTACCAAGCATGATGCCCTTATCCAGAGAATGCCCTCCGGATAATATGTCCCAAGTGTCTGTTGTTGTTGTTAGGTGCCATCAAGTAGGTACCGACTCATAGCAACCCTATGTACAATAGAATGAAACACTGCCTGGTCCTGGGCCAACCTCACAATTGTTGCCATGAGTGAGCCCATTGATGTTGCCATTTAGCCAACCTATCTCACTGGGGGTCTTCCTTTTTTTCTCTGACCCTCCACCTTACCAAACATGATATCCTTCTCCAGTGACTGGTCCCTTCTGACAATATGTCTGAAGTATGAGAGACGAAGTTTGGCCATCTTGGCCTCCAAGGAGCACTCTGGCTACAGTTCTCCCAGCACAGATCTGTTGGTTCTTTTGGCATCCCATGGCACATTCAATATTCTCCTCCAACACCATAACTCAAAAGCATTAATTCTTCTACAGTCTTCCTTATTCACTGCCCAGCTTTCACAAGCATATGAGGTTATTGAGAACACCATGGTTTAGGTGAGGCGTACCTTAGTCCTCAAGCTGACATCTTTGATCTTCAATACTTTAAAAAGGTCTTGTGCAGCAGATTTGCCTAATGCAATATGACATTTGATTTCTTGACGGCTGCTTCAATGAGTGTTGATTGTTGAGCCAAGAAAAATGAAGTACATGGCAGCTTCAATCTTTTCTCTGTTAATAAGAATGTTGTTTATTGGTCCAGTGGTGAGGAATTTTGTTTTCTTTACATTGAGATGCAATCCATACCCAAGGCTGTGGTCTTTGATCATCATCAGTAAGAATTTTAAGTCCTCTTCACTTTCAGAAAACAAAAAATCATGTGCATATTGCAGGTTATGGGTTAATGTGCTGGACTGCAAAGTCATTTGGAACTACAACATATGTGGTTCAAGCTCACCATTCAATCTTCAGGAACCATATACAGGGTCACTATGGTTTGGAACCGACTTGATGGCTCTTAACAGTAACAAGAACATTGGAGACTAAGTCTCACCACACTCTAATCCTGATGGCATATTCTTCTTCATATAATCCAGTTTCTTGGATATTTGCTCAGCAAACAGAATGAATAAGAATGGTGAAATAATTCAACCCTGGAGCATATTTTTCCTGGTTTTAAACCATACAATGTCCCCTGGTTCTATTCGAACAACTGCTTCTTGTTCGATATACAGGCTAACCTCATGGTCAGCAGTTTGAAACTACCATTTGTTCCACAGGAGAAAGATGAGGCTCTCTGCTCCTGTAAAGATTTACAGCCTTGGGAACCCTGTACAGGGTCGCTATGAGTCTGAACTGACTCCACGGCACATAACCACCACCACCATGAGCACAATTAAGTGGTCTGGAATACCAGTTCTTCACAATTTTATGCATAGTTTGTCATGATTCACACAGTTGAAAGCCTTTGCATAGTCAATAAAGCACAGATAAATATCTTTCTGGTACTCTCTGCTTTCAGCCAAGATCCATCTGACATCAGCAATGATATCCATTGTTCCATATCCTCATCTGTCAACATCCTCATGTGTCTTCTATCTGGTGAAGTTTATGTGTATAGTCATATTTTACGTTGTTTATAAAAGCTATTTGCTGTGAGTAAGTCATGGGTCTTGCAAAATTCTGTCATGAGATCTCCAGCATCATTGCTATCACCAAGGCCATATTTACCAACTTCTTATCCTTCCTCTTTGTTTCCAACATTCTCATTCCAATGATCAGTAATTATCAATACATCTTGATTATGTGTTTGATCAATTTAATACTGAAAAATTAGGTAGATTTCTTCCAGTTAATCATCACTGACTTTAGTGGTTGGTGTGTACATTTGAATAAAAGTAGTATTAACTGGTGTTCCCTGTAGACATATGGATATTATTCTATCACAGACAGGATTAAACTTCAGGATAGATCTTGATATATTGAGTTGTATGCTATTGTCATTTGATTGTCAGATTCAGCATAGCCAATCTCAGTGCATTTCAGCTTGATAATGCCTAGGATATCTATCTTTTTGCGTTCCATATAATTTTTTGACAGCTAATTTTCTTGGATTCATATTTCACACATTTCATGTTCTGATTACTAGTGGATGTTTACAGCTGTTTCTCCTCATTTTGTGTTATGCTTCATAAGCAAATGAATGACCAAGGTGCATTGAAGGAATTGGCAAAGAACAAGCCACCAGGGATTGATGGAACAGAAATTGAAATCTTTCAAGAAAGTGAGACAGCACAGGAGGCACTCACTCATCTATGCCAAGAAATTTGGAAGGAAACTATCTGGCCGACTGATTGGAAGAGATCCATATTTGTGCCCATTCCAAAGAGAGGTGACCCAACAGAATGTGGAAATCATTGAACATTCTCGTTGATATCCCATGCGAGTAAAGTTTTGGTAAAGGTAATACAAAAGTGGCTACAATCATACCTTAACAGAGAACTTCCAGAGGTTCAAGCCGGATTCAGAAGAGGCCGTGGAACGAGGGACATCATTGCTGATGTCCGATGGATCTTGGCTGAAAGCAGAGAATATAAGAAAGATGTTTACCTGTGCTCTATTGACTACACAAAGGCTTTTGATTGTGTGGATCATGACAAACTAGGGACAACATTGCGAAGTATGAGTGTATTCCTGAACACTTAATTGTGCTCATGAGGAATCTGTACCTGGACCAAGAAGCAATTGTTCAAATAGAACTTGGTAACACTGAATGGTTTATAATTAAAAACGGTGTGTGATAAGGTTGTATTCTTTCACCATACTTATTCAACCTGTATGCTTAGCAAATCATGCGAGAAGCTGGGTTATATGAAGAAAAACGTGGCATCAAGATTGGAAGAAGACTCATTAACAACCTGTGATATGCAGATGATACAACCTTGCTTGCTGAAAGTGAAGAAGACTTAAAACAGTTACTGATTAAGGTCAGAGAGCACAGCCTTCTATATGGATTACATTTCAGTGTAAAGAAAACAAAAATCCTCACCACTGGACCAAAAAAAAACATTCTTATCAAAAAAGATTGAAATTGTCAATGACTTCATTCTTCTTGGATCAACTATCAACACTCATAGAAGCAGCAGAATTCCATCTTTATACTTGCCATTACACTTTTGACAACTTCCAATTTTCCTAGATTCATACTTTGTTAATTCAACATTTTGATTATTTGTGGATGTTTGCAGAGATTTATTCTCATTTTGAATTGTGCCCAATTAA